TCACTGTAATACCACGCCGGTATATTCAACACGCCATTATCTCTCAGTGTATCGCTCACAATGATGATGAATTCAAATTGAAAATGCTTGCATACACCAAGGCCTAAAACGCGGAACGTCCTCAATAAGGTACGATGATTACTAGAATACAGTACAAATGTTTGGGAGCAAACATTTGTTTTCATGATCATGGTCTAAATAATTCCATTTTTGATGTAAATCAATTTTCCCGCGAAATTCTAAAATATGATACACACATTAAATGCCACGATTGTTATGACACCGTGAATCAGGGGACAGGCCAGCATCGATTAGGGCATCCTATAACCATAGGAATCAGATGACCAGCCCAGCATGGATTAGGGTACCCTAGTACCATGGAAATAAGGTGACCAGCCCAGCATGGATTAGGGTACCCTAGAACTATAGAAATCAGGTGACCAGCCCAGCATCGATTAGGGTACCCTAGAACCATAAGAATCAGGCGACCAGCCCAGCATCAATTAGGGTACCCTGGAACCATAGAAATCAGGCGACCAGTCCAGCATCGATTAGGGTACCCTAGAACCATAGGAATCAGGTGACCAGCCCAGCATGGATTAGGGTTCCCTAGAACCATAGAAATCAGGTGACCAGCCCAGCATCGATTAGGGTACCCTAAAACCATAGGAATCAGGTGACAAGCCCAGTATGGAGTAGGGTATGATAGAACCATAAAAATCAGGTGACCAGCCCAGCATGGATTAGGGTACCCTAGAACCATAGGAATCAGGGGACAAGCCAGCATCGATTAGGGCACCCTAGAACCATAGGAATTGGGTGGCTAGCCAAGCATCGATTAGGGTACCCTAGAACCATATGAATCAAGGGACAGGCCAGCATTGATTAGGGTACCCTAGAACCATAGGAATCAGGTGACCAGCCCAGCATCGCTAAGGATACCCTAGAACCATAGGCATCAAGGGACAGGCCAGCATCGATTAGGGTACCCTAGAACCATAGGAATCAGGTGACCAGCCCAGCATTGATTGGGGTACCCTAGAACCATAAGAAGCAGGCGACCAGCCCAGCATCAATTAGGGTACCCTGGAACCATAGAAATCAGGCAACCAGTCCGGCATCGATTAAGGTACCCTAGAACCATAGGAATCAGGTGACCAGCCCAGCATGGATTAGGGTTCCCTTGAACTATAGAAATCTGGTGACCAGCCCAGCATAGATTAGGGTACCCTAGAACTATAGGAATCAGGTGACTAGCCCAGCATGGATTAGGGTACCTTAGAACCAAAGGAATCAGGTGACCAGCCCAACATCGATTAGAGTACCTTAGAACTATAGGAATCAGGCGACCAGCCAAGCATGGATTAGGGTACCCTAGAACCATAGGAATCAGGTGACTAGCCCAGCATGGATTAGGGTACCCTAGAATCATGGGAATCTGGTGACCAGCCCAGCATGGATTAGGGTACCTTAGAACCAAAGGAATCAGGTGACCAGCCCAGCATGGATTAGGGTACCTTAGAACCAAAGGAATCAGGTGACCAGCCCAGCATCG